TGTTTAGAGGAAATTGTTAGTTTACCATTCTATGGTGCGAGTGGGTCCAACTCGTTGTGGTGCGTGTTTTCTGAGAAGCGGACCATCCATTGCACTCACAAAGGCACTGGATAGCTGAAATGACGTTCTAAAAGCGATATAGTGTGCCTTCATAGAGGTGGCTCCTCAATGCAGCTCCGAGGTGGGTTAAAGAATCTTTACTTTTGCACATAACGGCATTGGGAAATCGACATCGTATTTTGTTGCAATGTGTAACAGAAGAATTGCTTTCATTTAGTTGCACGTCGAAAACTGACAGCTTTATGCGCCTAGATTTGCAACTTTGCCTAAGTATTTGTAGAAATTGCCTGCCTACTCTGATGCGCCTGCACCACGCACTTGCAGAGAGGGTTAGTTGCAGTGGGCTTAGTGGGCATTGAATGCAGGAGGCTCGGGCTAGGAGCACAGATGAGCCGAGTGGAAGACAACACTCGCAGAGGGATTCCTCACGGTCCTGACACACCGAAGTCGCGTTCCAATTCCGTGCCCGCCTCTCTCTCTTATAAAGTTCAACTCCTACATTCGAGTATATTTTACAGTATTTTGCCACACTTTTGTGCCCATCATGGCTGAATGTGCTTCAACTCCATCCTCCATCAAACAAAGATGATTGCTGCAGCGCTCCTCATAGCCAGAAGGAGAGTTGGGAATCGGCTGATCTCATCGCGCCACTATTGTACGCCCACTTACTCCTCCTTCTTCTTCTTCTTCTCCTCCTCCTCTACTGCCTTGTCGCCATCCTCTACTCAGAAAGCCACGAGTCAATGGTGTGTGGCTCCCATCCAAGTCCATGTGGTCGATTATAGGTGGCAGGAAGGAGTGGTTGTAACCATTCACTGGATGCTATGCCGCATTCCCTTATACCCGTACAACTTCCACCCTCCATCTATGCTTCTCCTCTTCACCTCCTTCCCTGCCAATCACAAGTGGCGTTAGACGAAGTGAGATCGCCTAGACACCTTGCACCCTCACCTGCCTAGTGACACAATGGTTGCT